CTATTGATTTTACTTTTATAGCATCATCATGCTAAAAATTTAATTTCACATGATCTTTTTGTAATTATAATGGAGTTGTGCATATCTTTTTGTAATTATAATGGTTCTATGATTCGCCAATTAGAAATAATAATAATAATAATTGATCCTCCAATTAAATCATATTAGATTGATGAAATATCTCGATTAGTTGAATCTTGAGAACAATAAAAATACAGAACACAAATACGCATCAGGAATCGTTGTCCTTAAAATTGGATTAAGTGACTACTTTAATTATTTTTTATTTGACGATTATAAATCTGAGCTCGGTGTTTAGTGTCGGTTAAATTTTGACAATTATGATAGGTTCACAAGATTGATGAAAAATATAACTTAAATTAGTGAAAATAATTAGAGAGCGAAACACTCGTTTATGCTCTTGCCTGGTTATAGGATCTTGGATGCGGGTGAAACATGTACGATAGTTCAGAGAAAATATTGTGGATATATTTTAACTTATGTGATTCAATATACTTCGAGAATGCAATTTTTTTACTTTTAGTGAAAATTTAAAAACTAATAATAAGATTTGATAATCTTAAATTGACTAGACATGATCTAACGTTCATGTTCTTCATGTGTATTATATAGTAAAAATACATACATACATACATACATACATACACACACACACATTTACATAAAGTGATAATTTTCATATTCATTTCAATCACACTTTTACATAATAAATATTTTACACATAATCCAAAAAAAAATTCTTACTTTTAATCACACTTTTTTCAAAAAATTACTGTTCAAAAACCCACTTTCTCAAATTAATGGTCATCAAATAGGGGCTTAATTTTTTGATTGGATTTGAATCACAAATTTTAAATTTTTAAATTGCCGACTTCAAACTTTTAATTCAAGAACGCAACACTCGAATCTTTTATTGTATTATTCAAAGTATAGACTACACTTTTGAATGTTCACCATTTTTATTAAATAAAAAAAAAGTAATTTCAAACAAATAAAGAAAACAATTTTTTACTCTCTCTAAATTTTGCATCTTATTCCATCTAGTCCAATGTTGGTTTAATCGCAGTAGGCGGTCGATAAACTTTAATTGCAATCACAATTGAGTCCAAGTTCTCAAAGTAACTACAATTGAATCCAGGACTTCAAAAAGCCTTTATTATTATTATTATTATTATTATTATTATTATTATTATTATTATTATTATTATTATTATTATTCTTGAAGAAGAAGATCCAAATTTTTTTGTTTCAAGTTAAAACTTAGGGTTTGAAGTAATTGCATTTTATTTTATAAATATGAATTTGTTTTTGCAAAACTACCAATTGCTTCAAACTCGATTTCAAGCAGCTCGATTCCACACAACACATTTATTATTTAAAAACTACTATGCTTAAAGTCTTTTTTTTTTTTTTTTTTGATATATTGACAATAGTTTATATTGAAATGAAAAAGTTTATAATAAGATTTTTTATTTTACACCATTTTATTTTTTGAATTTGAGTTTATGGATTGTTCCATATTTGAGCCCTATTTTTCTTGGGAAAAATATATTTTGAAATAGTTATTTTTTAGAGAATGTGTGATCGTCAAATAGGAAAAAGTTTTAGGTTATGTGTAAAATTATTTTGATGAGAGAACGTGTAGTTAAAATTGAGTTTTGAGAAAATAAATTTTGAAAAAAAAAATAAAAATAAAAAAAGGACTCAAAGATCCCTATTGGTTGAATACTTGAATCGTCACCTTGTGTGCGCCTTCTTTTTCTAGTTTCTAATATTGATAGCCAAACGGGATTGAGAAATTCAGGCCATAGCCCCACTATTGAATCCAATAACCTTCCTCCAATTTGTTTGCTTTCATCAGTTTACTCCATTCTTTTCAGATTAGGATTGGACTAATGGAGGTAGTGATATTGGCAGTGACAATATGAGTATGATTTCATTGCAGTGGGATGGAATGGGAAAAATTATGAAGTTTCTCTCTCTCTTTTCATTCATTTAGCGAGCACCTTTTTAGTTTCATTTTTGACTAAGAATACATTTTGAAATAGTAGATTGATGAAGAATATATGGTTAAAAAAAGTTTTGAATTTACGTGTAATATTAGTTAATTGAAGAATGAGTAGTTGAAAAAAAACGAGAGAAAAATATATTTTTCAAATAATATTAATTAAAAAATGGCAAAATTTCTTTAGGAGAAAAATTATAGAATTATCTTTTTTCTTTTTAAAATTGGTTAAAATTAAGGTCGGACATTTGTCTCTTAATCAAGTAACGAGTTTTTGAATAAAAACATTATAAACACACTTGGTCTACATTCTATTTGACAAAATGTCATATGACAATTTATCATTAGACAATTTAAAAGAAATTATTTATTTCAATTTATCATTAGATAGTTTAAAAGAAATTATTTTTTCATCCAATAAAATTTTGCCAACACACTTTTTTTTGTCAACATATGTGGTAACAAGTGATATACAAATAGCAAAATCCAAAACATTAAGGGTGTGTTTGGTTTGTGTTTCAGTTTTCTATTTTTAATTTTGAATTCATTTTTAGTTTTCTGTTTTGAGGAACTATTTTCGAATTACTGAAAACGTATTTAGTTTGTTATTTTGAAAAACGATTTCTCAAAACAGAAAATTAGAAAATGCATTTCGTTTAAAATTATTAGAAATCGTTTTATTACATTTATTCAATTAATTTGATTGTTTAATAAAATATAATACTTTTATGTTAATATATTACCAAATAATATATATTTTAAACTTGGTGAATTTATTATTTTTTTCTTGCTATAATAATAAAATAATAAATAATAAATTTTTAGAAATTACTTTATGATATTTATAAAATTAATTTGATTATTTAGTAAAACATAATAATTTCATGCTAATATATTACTAGATAATATATATTTTAAACTTGGAGAATTTACTATTTTTTCTCTCTACAAAAATAAAATAATAAATAATAAATTTTTAAAAATTGTTTTACAACATTTATTAATTTGATTATTTAGTAAAACATAATAATTTTATGTTAATATATTACCATATAATATATATTTTAAACTTGGTGAATTTACTATTTTTTCTTGTTACAAAAATATAAATAATAAATTTACAGACCAAAAATAGGAATCGTTGTAAAAAAAAATAAAAAAATAGCTAGTCCGTCCTTCATCCTTCTAAATGTATTTTGTTGTCACTTGGACAATGAAAAAGAAAATAATAGTTCTTCTAAATTTTGATTAACGAAAAAAAACAATAATGAAAAATTGAAAAATATTGTGGGTTTTAAAATTATTATGCTTCACTCAGTTGTAACAGATTGCAACATTTTATTTATAAAAGAACTATTGATTATCCCCTCGGTGTTAAAAAAGAAAAAAAAATGGCTTGTTTTGATCGTTTTCAGGGTTTTGAGTTTTTTAATTGAAAGCACTCAAAATGGAAAAAAAAAATCGTTTTGTATTTTCAGTTATAAATTTTTCCTTATTTTCGAAAATACAATTTTGGAAACAACACACCAAACAAATTTTGGACATTTTCAAAAACTAAAAACGGAAAATTGCTTGAAAACGAGGCGCGCTCTAAAAGGTTCCTGCCATACTTTATTGAAAGGCTTGAAACTTGAAAGCTGTCTAATACAATTTAGAAATTGTTTATTCAATTAATTTGAATATTTAATAAAATATAATATTTTTATACTAATATATTATCAGATAATATATATTTTAAACTTGGTGAATTTATTATTTTTTCTTGCTATAAAAATAAAATAATAAATTTTTAGAAATTATTTTATGACATTTATTCAATTAATTTGATTATTTAGTAAAACATAATAATTTCATGCTAATATATTACCAGATAATATATATTTTAAACTTGGTGAATTTACTATTTTTTTTTCACTACAGAAATAAAATAATAAATAATAAATTTTTAGAAATTGTTTTACGACATTTATTAATTTGATTATTTAGTAAAACATAATAATTTTATGTTAATATATTACCAGATAATATATATTTTAAACTTGGTGAATTTACTATTTTTTTTTGTTACAAAAATAAAATAATAAATTTATAGACCAAAAATAGGAATCCTTGTTAAAAAAAAAATAGCTAGTCTGTCCTTCATCCTTCTAAATGTATTTTGTTGTCACTTGGACAATAAAAAAGAAAATAATAGTTCTTCTAAATTTTGATCAACAAAAAAAAATAATGAAAAATTGAAAAATGTTGTGGATTTTAAAATTATTATGCTTCACTCAGTTGTATCAAATGACAACATTTTATTTTAAAAGAACTGTTGAGCATCCCCTTAGTGTATTAAAAAAAAAAAAAAGAGGAAAAAAAGAGAAAGAAACGGTTTGTTTTGAGCGCTTTTCACGTTTTGAGTTTTTTTAACTAAAAGCACTCAAAATGGAAAAAAATCATTTTGTATTTTCAATTATAAATTTTTCCTTATTTTCGAAAATATAATTTCGAAAACAACACACCAAACAAATTTTGGACATTTTCGAAAATTAAAAGCAAAAAAGGCTTGAAAACGATAAACCAAATGCGCTCTAAAAGGTTCCTGCCGTACTTTATTGAAAGGCTTGAAGCTGTCTAATACGATTTAAATGTTTGAATATTATTTACACTACTTTAAAATATTTGGAATCTCCACTATAAATTGCCCTAATTATTTTGCATTTAAGGGCATTTCTCCCAAAAATTCTTATAAAAAAAAATCCTATTTGGTCCATATTTTTAAAAGTGGCCATTTTTATTCAACAATTGTAAATCTAATTTTCTTGATCCACTAATCACAATTGTAAATCTAATTTTCTTGATCCACTAATTTCTCACAAGACTTGTACATGTAGGTGGAGCAACATTTTCACTAATCAATTTAATTCTATTAAACTTTGAACTGACTGTTAACCCCAAACAAAACGAATAATATTACCAATCAGTCCAAAATTTCTCCTCTAGTCTATACTCCCATCCTAACCCGTCCCCTCCTCTCTCGCACTGTACAACGATGGCGATTTCCTCACTGCAAAAACTCGCCTCTCAGATTACGAAAAATCCCTCCGCAGCCCTCTTCTCTCGCGCCCTAATTACCCGATCTTCTGCCTCTACTTCAGCCAAGGTCTCGGATCGACTCGTCAAGCTTTTCGCAGTGGATCCGGACGGCATCAAGCGCCAGGTAGTGGGGCTCTCGGGTCAAACCCTTCTCAAGGCATTGACCAACCAGGGTTTGATCGACCCGGACTCCCACCGGCTTGAAGAGATCGATGCGTGCTCGGCCGAATGCGAGGTGCACATCGCCCAGGAGTGGCTCGAGAAGCTACCCCCTCCTACTTATGACGAGCAGTATGTATTGAGGAGGAATTCTCGTTCCAGGGTCATGAATAAGCACTCCAGGCTCGGTTGCCAGGTGGTTCTCACTCCTGAGCTGCAAGGTATGGTTGTCGCCGTGCCTGAGCCCAAGCCGTGGGACATTCCGTAATATCTTGATCCCGAGAACAGTCACTGCGCGGTCAGTTTTAAGGATTTATTTGAATAATGGGGACAAAATACTTTCCAAACCAGACTGTGTTGAATATTTTGATGGTTAATTTGATTGTTGCAGTAAAATGGTGTTGTTCTTGGATGAAATTTGAGAAATTGGATTATTTATTATTCATATATGTTGGCGTTCTATGTTGTGGCCCGCATTAGCAGCAATGCTGCAGTTAGGTTTTCTCAATTGCAATTTTATTTCCATTTCTTTGGTAAGGTTGCAGGAAATAAATATTCTTACCATTACGCTTGATGTGTCTTAAATTAGTCATATTGGCGTGAAGCTCTACTCCGAGAAGTCGTATAGGGCAGAAATGGAATAATTAATAGGATTGTGTAGTTTGTTCTGATGCAAATAGTTATGTAAACATCAATTGCATTGAAGTCACCCAATAACAGCGGTAGAGTACCCTCGAAGCAGACCAAGCTAGCTTCAATATCTGCATAAAGCTCAGTTCTTCTAACTCGACAATTATCCCCATAAACTATGGATACCCTTGTTTTGATCCCTCTTGACTAATGATCTGCTTGTGTTCGACTGCCTTCTTCTCCTCATTCTGATTAGTCTGTGGTTTGTCTAGGTATTCTATTAATTATTAGATGGCGTAAGTTGAGGCACTCAATGGTATATTTGTTTTATGAAGTGACTGTGGAGTCCGGGAGGGCTATGTATGTACTGATATTCTTACTTTATGGTGTGTTCATTACGTCTAATAGTGCCTGCAACTACTGTCTTTAGTATAGCTGGGGAACTGAGTGTTTATAGTGTTTATAGGAGCAAAATGATTCTACATGTGAGAACTGTTCACACCAAAGGGTTATATTAATTTGATTAGGAAAGTGGAAACTGAATTGCTTAATCTCCTCCTAACAAGGTTATTATCCTCTATTAAAATGAGATAATTAAAAGTGCTAGAAAAATCTACTACGAAGTAGTTATCCTTCTATTTGAGCTTGACACTATTGGCTAGATTTGCTAAGCTTTGAGTTTTTAGGATTACACATGCATATTCCTTAAACTATATGGACCTTAGTATTGAAATATTTGTAAATCCTTAATCAGAATTACTGGGATGATTCATTCTATTACCAATTTTTTCCAGATGATAAATTGAGGTTAATGAAGATTGATTTGTTGCGAACTGTCTCTTTTGAAACTGTTGTATTTTAGGCTATACACATCTGGTCAATTTTTTGCACTTGGAGACGGTACCATAGCAACTCGTATGACTCGAGATTCTGCTACAGTTCCTTACTAATTGATTTAATTTAAGTCCGCTACCCATATCTGTATTTTTCCTCTCTCTCCATTGAGGCTGATGGAATGTAGGCTACCAGCATCTGATTACTTGTTTGAACTAGGACACAGTACTATAGCAACTAGGGGTGTTAAGTGGGGCTAGTCAATTCCCAACTCGGCTCACCCTACTAGGTAGCCAAGCAGCAAATTTTGAGCAGCTGACACGAGCCAATTCATCATAACTAAGTGAACAAGCAATTTTAGTAAAAAATTGAAAAAGAAAAATGGCAAAGCCGAGCCGAGCCGAGCCGTGGCTTGCCGTATTTAACACCCCAGTGGCAACTCTTATGACTTGAGATCCGAGTCCAATCACGCCCACCCAAACCGTAACCCTACCTCCATACACCGAATGGCACTTCTTGTCTTGGTAATTGACTTGTGCTTTTGGTTCTTCCTTGAGGGATTGCTAATTCAAAACTGTGTGGGAACATTTTCTCAATACTTTCTTTTTACTCACTTTTTTTCATCTTGTCACCAGTATAGTTTGTGTGACTGATAAAAGTCCCTACATCTGCTCTTCTATGTGATTCACTCACGACGATGAAAAATTTTTCAGGAAGCTTTTCCTTGAAGAGTTACTATATCATATCTTCTTGTGCAACTAATAGATTCATTTTTATCCATTGCATGTTTTTCTCAGGCGTGCATATCATTCGTGTTTTGTTTACCATTCTCAGACTTTTACTATAATCCTATGGCAATTTGGTTTTCCATCAGGTGATGATATTTGAGATTCACTCATATCTAGTGACCTTATGTTCGGTCAATTTAGCTATTAAGCTGATGTAGTCATGTGAGAATGCTAGATTTCTATGTTAGCAGAATTTGTGTACGTTCTATGGGCTAACGTGTTGAAAGGACATCAATTCAAATACTGGATTTTCGAATCGATAGAGATCAAGAATTCTCACTATTTTTTAATGTTCATGGACCCTACTGAGTTCAGTGGGATACCTTGTGTTTTTGTTGGCTGGCTTGTTCTGTTGCTTTTTCCTTGTTTAGACTGATCCACTCTTATTAGTTAAATTTTGTGGTCACCAATTACTTTCAATAACTGCGTGGATAAAAATTTTCCCGACATTTTATTAGGTTAACTAATCATGTAAAATAGTTTCCACTCTCCACAAATGAATATTTATTGGAGCTAATCATGCTACTTGCACATTTTATTTGACATCATTGTTGACATTGTGCTACGCATCAACACATGATTCGACAGTTTTTTGAATTCAACAAACTTTCCCACTAAAGCGTTTTTGAATTTGCACACAATGTCATCCAAATTGTCATTCATGGAATGTATAAGAAGCTTTATTCTTCCTGGAGTACTTGTGGGATGATCTCAATGTTAATGATTCCATGGTGGAAATTGGTGAAATTTGATAAGAACACAGGAAGATTCAAGAAGTTGGAACGTTCAGTATCAACTCCTTTTCCCTCTTGCTGGTGATTTGTGGCCATCTCAGCATTTCTTTTGGCCCTGTCAGGTTTCTCGTTAATGGTGGTAGATAGGGTGAATAATTTGGGAAAAAGTTAAAGTTCGATGTCCCTTCTTGTCCCAAGCTAAATCTTGCTTGAAGTTTGATTTCGTTGGTTTGAAAAAATATCAACTCCTGCTAGTTTTACTGCCAACCCAATCTCAAATGATTGCTTCCAGAGAGATTGGTGTTGATATCTTCAATCTAGTTAGTTTCTTGCAAATCGCTAGTTTTTCGATTGAGGAAATGATAAATACGAAGAGTGTGTTGATATGAAGACAGTCAAACATCAAATTTTCCTGTTAGATCATCAAAGCGACCTTACAATTCATGTCTCTAGATCATCAAATGGGACGTAATAGAAATGAGAGAAAAACTCAGCTGTTCAATGTAACTGACATAAGCATAATTTCATTTCGGTCGTTGAATTTCAAAATGGCCTCTTTACACATCATTGAGTTTAAGCATATCCATCACAAGCGGAAATTCTACAAACGCTAATTTTCCGTTGCATTTAAATTTTCTAATCTAAAATGTATAATGACAACAATTTTCATTGCAATACACCATTACAATCACAACAGAACTAACTATTCGGTGAAAATAGCAATTCTACCATAATATAGCATAATTATTCGATGAAAAATTGCAACTCTTTCATTCCCTAGTTACCACAACAGACAAACTCAACAATTGCCATCAATAACATAAATCTTCTTTCGTGGCATACCAACCGTTACTGTCCTTACTCGAGGTTCAAGTGGTGGATCAAACCCCACTGACCGTATTCCTGTCACAAACCAATTAATGAAATTAAAGAACTGAGTATATGGCTCGTGCAAAAATCCACGATTCCCTTTCCCTTTATTCGAGATGCTAATAACCCTAATTTTCCTCTCTCAATTTGATTGTGGACCCTAGTTTGGCCTTTTTCATTTTGCTTAATGTCTACTCAAGACAATCCAGAATATGGTCATACACTCTGGAGCAATGCCTGGTAAGTCATGTGGGGGCATTAATGACTATATAATATCTAAAAATTTTATTTTCTTTCTTTGTCCATGTTTGGTTCAACTAATATTTTTGATTAAAATTCAAGTCAAAGTCAATAATAAATTTTAACAACACATTTCATGAATCTACAACTTTTCAGCTATACATTCCATCAATTTTTATCAAAATCTGTTAAAAGATCTGGGTTTTATCTAAACCAAGAAGAGGCTTAATGTTGTCTAGTGTCATACCATTCATGGAGGAATACATAGATTTGGTGACAAGACAGTTGAATTTGCTCTTCTTTTTTACAAAGAATCTATTCAAAATGTACTGTGCATTTTAGATCTCTTTCTCTCTGTTTATCACCATCTCTTCTTTCGATTCAAGTGAAAAGATACTTCCATTATTCAAGGAATTTCAGACCAGCAAGAGGAGTATACTCAGAGATATGAAATAGGGCTGGCCCTCAAACAAATAAGCATTCTAGGCCCGACTTTTCGAAGATGTACTTACAGGGAGAAATAAATAATCAGAGAGGAAGCACTAGAAACTAGTACTCAAATATTGGAAACATTTTAATTTTCTTAAAATCTATCTTTTTGTAATTCTCAACTTATATTAATAGATTACAAGAAAAGAATGGTGTGCGCATCTAGCAAATTTATTATATCTTAGGTGATTTTTTCTCAATGTGAGAACACAGCAGAGAAAACGAAAAACTGGGCATAGTAAAACATATGATCACAAAACAATTAAACATTCAGGAAAAAGAAAAATTGACATAAAACATCATAAAACTTGCTGTCATGTTACTACAAAAGACCAAACTTACATGGAATATGGTGCTGGATCAACCTTTCGAGGATTGCCCAAAACAATGTTAGCAATCATTTCAGCAGTTCCCAAAGCCTGATGAAGCGTGAAATAATTTGCACATGAACTTTCCAGCAACAATAAAAATGGTAAGAAAACAAAACCATTGCCGTGGTAATGAAACCAGCTCCAATGGAAGCCAAAAACAGCTGGATAATTGATTGCATGTTTGGTAATGTAGAGTGAGCAGGAACGTTATTAAAGAAAATAAGATAAATCTTGTATATGTTGATCATGTTTGGGAAATAAGCCCATGGCCTGTAAGCCATGGACCCCATACAATTATGAAGTTAAAAAATTGTGTGGGAGTGGGTCCCGCACAATAAGCCAAATAGGTAGCAAATGAGTTACTTGTGTGGCTTATTTGTAAGCCACAAATATTGTGGGGCCCATGACTTATAAGCTTATTTGCCAAACATCTCATTATACTGTCCAGTATTGTTTAATATTGTACACCAAATAAGCACGGAATATTTCCGTAAAACAAGCACATTGTTGAGAGAGGAAAAAAAAGAGAAAATTACCAATGTGAGTCCTTCTCCTTCATGTCCAGCAGCAAGGAACATGTTTGATATTCTAGGAACGTGGTCAATCACTGGTTTTCCATCAGGCACTAAAACAAAATAAAACAGCATAAAAGATGAGTCTGTGACAACAATTTGAATATATACAGTAAATATAATCATAGCGAAATTTTTCCTAGCACACATACTGTATGGTCTCAGCCCAACTCTCACTTCTCTGCTTTTGTTCAACTCTTTAAGTGATACTTGTTTTAATATAGGAAAGAACTCCCCTGCCCTTTCCCATATCTGAGTGATGACAGATTCATCAATCTCAGTGTTGAATCCCACAAGCTGGCGGCTGCTACCTGTAAGACCAGATAAACTTGAAAAAAACTGCAGGCACGTATCCTCCTGGGGGAAGGAAGGAGATTGAATTTGAGGCAAGATAGTGCAACAATTATTAAGTTCACTTCATTCACAGTAACATATTGATATAGTGAGACGGTATAATAAAAACTTCTAACTTTCTACAATTCTATATAGAGTTGACAATCTACATTCTTGTAGCTGAAAGCCTGAAATACTATTTAACACCATAATTATAAATAAAATTAAGGTCGAGTTTGTGGAACGATGTAGCAAGAGGTTGGGTCCTCGTGACTCCATATGACACTAATGGACGTAGTAAGTTGGGTGCTTAAATTTCGATTGAAGTTGATAGCCCATTAGCTGACTGTTCATCACTTCCATGTTTTGAAGGAAATTATGGGACTCCCATATAATTGACAGAGTATCCGGTTTGAGCCTGTCAAACCGGACAGCATTTTGGAATCTTTATCTGGTCATGCCACACAAACCAATTACCAATAAAAGTAAGTGCACTGATAAAAGAAGTTCTCCACCTATCTTCTTTACCACCCATATTCTTTTTAGTTTCTTCAGTGATGATCTACAAATGATTTAGGATTTAGATACTTGTATTTTCAGCTTTCCATCTAAAATTAAGATGTATCCGTTTCTACTGATTAAAGTTTCCTAGTTACACTATGTTTTGGACTTCTTTTCTATAGATTAAAGCTTTCCTTGTGACAATTTGTTTTAGATTTATTTAAGTTTTCCTAGTTAGAATAGGTTTGAGAGTCGTAAGGCTTGAAAAGTCTGTGAATAGGCCATATTGTTTCAAACAAAAGAACAAATTAATCCAGAAAGTTCTGGTTAGCTCAGATTTAAGTCCTAATTACTAAATCTCTAATATTCGATCTCCACTAATATTCTTGCTGTTCTTTCAGTCACTTCTATTATTTGTCGGCTAAACTTGTTCCCTCGTCATAAATGTTGCCAATATGCTCTATTTTGTTCCTTTTTTTTTTTGCCCCCCTAGCCAAAAAGGTGTCTTCTGATTACATTTTACAAAAGATCAACGAAAGGATCGGGAACAAAGACTAATACCCACTAATACATAAAAATCCAGACTTTACTTCCAGGCCCAGTAGCATTTTATTTACAGCAACATGCAAGGTAAACATAGTCCAATTTTGCAATTGCTAGCAAGAAATCCAATCCAAGTCACTGTGGCAAGCATAACAATTCATGTTAAATGTCTTGGTAATAACAATAGTTCATGAAGTTCAATGCAAGTGCATCAGGCTGCATAATTCCTTCACCATATTATATAAACATAAATCTATGCATCTCGGGCATTTGCAAGAAAGAGATAAACAGAGAAAGAAAACCAGGACACAAGAGGTAAAGAGTTACCAAGAACCAGCCTTCCTGACATGTCCATGGTGGCTGTCATTGAAACAGATGAAGTGTTTGCATCATATCCTGACCCTGAGTCAGTAGTAGTAGAGCTCAGGGTTGCAGATTTATGATTGACATATCCTAACTCCATAAGGCCGTGGTTAAGATTTAATGACTTGAAATTCTCAATAACAAGCAGATGTCCCTGCCACACAATTCACAAAAAGCATTTGGCTTCTGCCTTTAGAATGGCTAAAAAGCTAGTGGATGCAAGTCACGTTGCAAAGCTCAGGAGTTAGAGAGCTTTTACATAAGTTATAGAAATTTAAGTCTTTAGAGCTCTTCGGTGGCCTGTTATGTTGGGCTTGGCAGTTAAATATCAATTTCTCCTTTATTTTAAGGAGAGGGACCATATGACAAAACAAGTGTTAGGAAAAGAAAATGTAAATACTATGGGAGAAGGGATACTAACCAACATCTTGGTTTCAAAGGGATTGGCTAATGCATTTCAGATTAAATACGACTGGAAAGTAGAATATGGAACTGGAAAGTGATTATTGATTAATAATATAAGGAAACTGTGTTCTCTAAACAAAAGTGAAGGAAAAGAGAAATTTACGTCTATTTCAGAATTCGGAATTGGGATAGTTGCCATACATATATATTGTTTTTCTATGACTCAGATTATGAAACAATACATTTTTTCCCAAAAAATAAAAATAAAAAATTCCTACAAAATCATTGTACCCCTTCATCTTCCTAACATCCATATCCTTTTGAACCTCATATATCCCACATAAATAACAACCATGAAACTGAAACAATTCAAATTTAGAAGCATTACAATTCACACATAGAATTCTAACCTTTCGAGGCTTTACTGGGAAATCTAATTCAATTTCAGAATGCTTGATCAGGTCATGTAACACAGAGCCACTCCAACAACCTGCAGCAACAATAATTGCTTTCTTACTGTACAAGGTGTTCTTGGAAGTCTGAACTGCCACAACATCCCCACTGCTCTCTGATCTGAGCACAGACGTGTAAAGAGTATTAACAAGTGTCAATCCTTGTTATTTGTTTAGCTTAAAATAATATCTACAAAAAATAAAAATAAAAATAAAAATTGCTACCTTAATAAACTGGTTGCTGGCTCATAATAGAACTCAGCATATCTTCCTTCCGCTGCAAAATACCTGTTACCCTATCAAACAATATAAAAATAAATTAATAATTATGTAAATGAATGACAAAATCTTAAAAGCACAAGAAACAAAACAGCCATTGCTTGAAGAAAGAAAATGAATTTTTAGAGTAACCTTCTCGATAAATGCAACAGTACGTCGAGCATCTATTTGGTAGTCATCAGGTACAAATGCCGCACCACCTTCACTTCCAAGCATAAGAGCAGGTTCTTCTGACTGCAAATCATCACAAGACAAGAAACTTGCCTCCAAGCCAGCCTCCAAGAGTTGCTCCACCCTACTTTTCAATGCGGAGCACTCATTTGCAGTTCTACCAACTAACATGCTTCCTGTCAATGAAATCATTACCACTTTTAAAACGCTGCTAGCATTCTGGAGGGGAACTCAATAGTCTTTAAAATATCAACTAGATCCAGCTCGGAAAATTCATTTCACTCATTTTTTTCAGGGAACTCATAGCTTTATACAAATGAGAGGTTAATTAAGCTTTTGTTTGAACAATATGAGATACCAACTAACTAGAATCTCCATCAAATGAGAATACTGGAATAGGAAGCAATGAAAGATCCACCTCGCGCAGAGGATCTCATCCTACATGTTTTATGACATAAATGGAGCATGATTTTGCAAGAACATACTCCAATTTTTCTTTTTTTCTTTTTCTTTTTTATTTTTTGGTTGTCACGGGTAAGTCATTTTTATGTTATCATGATTAACAGGCTGGTTAATTACATCAGCCTTGTATGTAAAAATACAATTACTTGTATTTTCTCCAACAAATATCGATTAACAAACCATAACATGTGACTAACAATTCTGAAAACTAGGACAGAACTAAACACATCATTTTGGAGTGGAACCCACCTAATATGCAAATTATATGATAATCCGCTGATAAAAGATCATACAGTTCTATCTGAGATAGAACCAATAAAAAATTTACTTGGGTACAAAAAACAGTACAAGGATAAATTACAAATGCAGACATGAATACAAAAACTGCATGGGGCGGACGAGTTGCTCATTCACATTCTTCAAAACTCCTCGGTATCAAATACTTCCACAAAACAATATTCTTACAAGTCATTGATAAGAGGAAATTTGATATTACCTGTCTTTTTCCATCCCAGTGTTTGCAAAGGATCCAAGCCTTGATTATGGATGCTCTCTGCCAGAGCCTCCCATAGTTGATGGCTTCTCATTACCAGCTCCCATTTTTCAGTCCCTGGGTCTCTGTGAACCTTCCATATGTAACCCTGTCCTAGAAGTGAGAATCAGCTCAAATGCCAAACAAAAGGTCAAGAAATCCTAAAGCCTATCAGAATTCCAGTAATACATATCCATTGATTAAGAGCATGTACCGTGATTCAAAAAAATAAAAGTTATATGCACATTCGCATTTTCTAACATGTTTTTATAAGTTATTTCTCCTGAAGTAAAATAGTTATTTAATTTGGAATAAAGTCTTAGCTTACCTTCAAATTAATTGTGCTCAAAAGTAAAGCTTACTATCAAAACAAGTGCATGTTTAGTCAAGTTACTTATTTACCAAACCTATAATTATCAAAATTACGTTCTTTCTTGACAAAACTTACTTTTCCAGAGAGTAAAAGTCTAGAAGAAAAGTAAATTTAGCTTTAGCTTGCTGTCAAAGTAAGTGCACCCTTTGTTATGCTTAAAAGTCATATTTATTCTACCGGTAGAGTTATCAAAATTAAATTTTTTCACTCACAGAATTTACTTAAAAGTCTTGAAAGGTTTCTCTTTCCCCCCCCCCCCCCCCCCCTTTTTGTGTGTGTGTGTGTGGGGTTTCAAATTCAACTAACAATTTTTTATTTTTATTTTTTAAAACATACATAGTTACATAAATTTGACGTTTTAAGCTTAGGGTATATTCAATTGAGACTTTTAATGACTTTATGGGATTTAAAAAGTTTAGGAATATTCAGTGTAGATTTTTTGAGACTTTCTGAATGTATTGATATATTCAATTTCAATTAAAACTTTTTAGAAGTATTTATATGTTTTGAAATGTTCAAATCTCAATGACTTGACTTTTAATAAAGGCTCCAAAGCACTAACTTTTACGTATAAAATACTAAAATAAAATCTCAAATTTTGTTTTTGATTAATCAGAAGATTTTTGGAGATTTTCACAAAAAAAAAAGTAAATAAAATAAAAAATCAATACTTCTCTTTCTTTTTCCTTTCTACGAATATTAGAGTTATAATTAAAAAAAAAATTTATTGATTATATTTTTTCTATTTTTTTCTCACTCATTGTTTATCTCTATTTTTTATGGAAAAAATTAAATTAGAGTCTTGTAACTTTTTTTCTTTTGTCATTCATTTTTTGTGAAAAATATCTGTTTTTAACTAAATTATAAAATTTCATATAGACTAGTTTATAATTAAATTTAAATATATTAACTTTTTATTTATTCTTTAAAGTTATATTATACTAATAACCCTGAATATCAAATTTATATTTATTGATTATTATTTGTTTATTTGTTTAAGGCCTTAAATTTTTATTCTTTTTAAATATTTTTTATTATATGGTAAAGCGAAAAGGAAGGAGAAGGAAAATTGTGGAAACAACTCGTATGTGAGAATTCATATTATTATTGGATTAGTTTCACTCGAATTCTATTTCTTACGATTTTTTAAATTCTACAAAAGTCTTTTAAATTTTACCTCAATTTTTGCGTAAAATGTAATATGGAGTTAAAAAGTAAATGCTTTTGAAATACTTGTATAAAAGATGTGTGGTCGAAAATGAGACTTGAAAAAACGTATTCTTAAAAAAAATAAAAATAAAAAGGCTCAAATAAGGCTAAAAATGAAAGTGCACTATTTCATACAAATCTATATTTAAAAAAAAAAAAAAATTTCCACAAGTTTTCAAAAATCTCTGAATGCAGCCAACCCTGCACCGTAGCTTGAAACTTAAGAGATCGATTGATTTCTATACAATAAGTACCTGCACCGGTGGCGCCAGCGCAAGGTGCGGCGGCATCGATGATGCCAACGGAAAGATTCGATCCGAGGAGAAATTGGCGGGCGATGGTCAACCCGATTATACCCGCTCCGATAATGACTACGTCGAAAGTGTGTGAATTCAACCCGGATGACCGGTTCAAACCGGCAGAGCAAACTGGTTTCAATCGGGTTGTACGATGTTTGATTGAAGATGAACATGAAAGGATTGGATTCGTATAATCACTTGGGATGCCGCCATGTAAGTGAAACTTGAAGCCGAATTTCGGAACGACGCCGTTGATTTTGAGAGCTGGAGTTAATGTCAGTGTAGTTGATGCCATTTGCAAAAAGATGCTTTCAGTGCAGTGTAGTGCGAGCTTGCGAAGACGGCGTTCAATTTATTTGCATAAAGTTAAAGCAGTTAATTAGTGTCGCATTTTACTTTAATGATGCAATCATGCTTTTTAAGTTTTACTTCATATTATTTAAATAGAAAGATTTTTTCAAACCCCCGTTTGGCCAGCATAAAATTAAAATTTTCATTTTTCTCTCTCCTATTTTCAATTATAAAATAATATTACACGTAAATTAAATTTTTTTTATTCTTTTTCAATTATTCATTTTCAAAAAAAATACTATTACACCAATTTTCATTTGAAAAAATAGGGGCCAAACGGACCCGGAGGGGGGAGGGAGAAATATTATATATTATGATGACTCATTTCGTCTAAAAGAACATCTACATCTGGCTGATTTTCTTGACAATGTTACATTTTTCTCATCAAGTTAGCTAGACATCGTTTGGGCCTCTTTTTTTAAAATGAAAATAGGTGGAATAATATTTTTTATTAAAAAGTTAAGTGGTTGAAAAAGAATGAAATTTTTTTCAATTTACGTTTAATATTATTTTATGAAAAATTGTGTGATTGAAAATAAATGAGAGAAAAATAAAATATAATTTAATGAGAGCTTATAGCTCTATAAATAAATTTTTGCTGATATTGTATATTTTAGTTTTAAGAGGCAATTTTTTAAATGTAATTCACGTAGGGTTAGGGATGTCAATTGGACCGAGCCGGCTCGTGGAAAAGAGGCTCGTAGGCGGCTCGGGCCTCGCCCTGAGGCGAGCCGAGCGGGTAGATGAGCCACTCGTGGGTGAGCCCACGAGCGGCTCGTTTTGACGAGTCGGGCTCGTGGCTCATTGAGCCTGTGACCATTTTGGTCACTGAATTTTTTCCCCCCTTTTTTTCTATAAATACCCCCTTCCCTAAAAGATTTTTTTTCATATCAATTGCTCTTCCAAAATTACAATTCTCTCAACTCTCTTTTATTATATCAATTATCGAGTATTTACTTTCTCGTGTTATAAAATATACAATATCAATTCAATTTTTACAATTTATTAATTACAATTTCAATTCATCCAATTCTCAATTCTCACAATCTCACTACATTTATATTCATCTAGTCAAGATTCATTATAAACAATCACAGAAATGGATCAACGTTCATTTGTTGAGAGCTTGTTCAATACAGGATGTGAGCCATTGCCACATCATGAAGGATCGCCTAGGACGCCGCAAAGTCAATTTCCAAATGAATTTGCCGGTCTAAATAACATACGGATACCTGAAGATGTTCACATTCACGGTCAGGGAAGCCACACTCGAATTGATTTGAAAGATATTAACGTTCTCGAAGCGGAACATGAAGATGAAAATCAGCAATTAAATATCCCAGATGCGAGGGGAAAGCGAAAGGCCAAAAAACAAGCAAAATGTTGAGATCACTTTAAGTTGATTTCAACGGGAAAAGTCGTTGATGGCCTTGCAGAATCTAAAGCAGTATGTAAATACTGCCAACAAAGATTGGAATGGCAAAAAGGAATTGATACCACTCATCTCAACCGCCACTACAAATCATGTGCAGCCAGACATGGACTTCTTCCAGCTGATCAAACACAATTACAATTTGGCATCCAGGCGCCGGTTCTACAACTTCACCCCTATCCACGTGGGTGTATTCGGAGGAGGAGACTCGAACCGGAATGGTGAAATTTGTTGCCGCCACTGAGTTGCCTCTGGCTATTGCAAACAATCAACACTTCGTCTCGTTCGTGAAAGAATATCTACAACCGAGGTACGTTGGGGTAAGTCGAAACACTCTTCGTGCCGTTATAATAAATTATTTCAATAATTCAAAACAACAATTAATTATGAATTTGCAACAATATTGGGGTGTTATATCCTTAATTTCTGATATATGGGAAGGGGTTAATAAAAGAGTATGCATAAGAAAATTATTGCTTTTAGAATTATTGAATTTCCTCACAATGCTAATAATATATATAATGCTATTATCAGTATTGTTAGAGAATATCATTGTGAGAGTAAAATTCGATCTTTTACTTTTGATAATGCTAGCGTTAATAAGGTAGTCGTCGATAAATTGTGTAGGACACTTCAACCTGATTTTGGTGGGTATTTGTTTCATATTCGTTGTGTGTGTCATATCTTAAATTTAATTGTGCAAGATGATTTAAAACATATAAAGGATGAACTTCAAAGGATTAGGATTGCATTAGTATATCTTACGATCTCTCCTAGTAGAAAACAAGCATTTGAAAATTTTTGTGCCGAACTAGGGGTGATGACTGCTAAAACATTTGTTAAGATGTAGGTCATAGATGGAACTCTACATACTTGCTATTAAAATCATGTGAATGTTTCGAAAATTTAATAACTGACTTTTATAATAATAGACATGTTAGAAGTGATGATGATGGTATGTTAAATGAATCCGATTAGATTTTAGCTTTGAAAGTTAAACGATTTTTGACATCTTTTTATGAGACCACAGATTTTATCTGGCGTTTATTATCCCACAAGCTGTATGGTGCTTGAACGCCTTTATATAATTGCAAGAACATTCCATAAATATAAAAATGATCCTACTTTTAGTGAAATTTTAATTGTTATGGAATTAAAGTTTAGAAAATATTG